CCTGTTACGGGTTGCGCAGCCTGCCCTCCAGCGCCGAGCCCAGCCCCGCACACCCTCAACTTTCCCAGCTCCGCCCCCTCCGCCCCCGGGCTGCAGTCCAGGCTCCAGCCCGGCGGGGACTCGAGCGCTGTCCTTTCCCAGCGCTTTCCGTTTCTAGCCCCTTGGCGGCAGGCTGCGGTTCCTCCTGTGTCCTACGCGCGTAAAGAGCCCAAGGGCGCACACACCCCGCGCCTGCCCCACCGCCCTTCCTTCTCCCTCCAGCTGCCCGCTAGGCCCGCCTTGGCTCCGTCAGCGCCGGGCACCTCGCGCCTCCTCCGGGTTGACCTCAGCAGCTGCGCCGCCAGCCACAGGCCAAGAGCTTCCAGGAATTAGATGCAGGAGAGGCCGCTGTGCGTTGAGGACAGAGGCAGCGTCTTCAGATAGGATGGGACAGGCAGAAGGGACACCGGGGGGTGGGGGGACAGGAAGCCGTGATGGAGAACAGGGAAACACTGCAAGCTCGGTTCTCCCTTCTGTCAGCTGTGCTTAGTCTCCCAGCCTATAAAATGAAAGGATGGGAGGGACCAGCAGTTAGTGTAATGGCTATGTCGCTGGACTCCCATGTAGCCCACCACGGTTCAAGTCCCAGACCTGGTATCTTAAACTCACGCCGGGCACGTGTGCGTGCGTGCCCAGATCCCGAGAGGAGAATGGAGGGGAAGGGATTGCACGGTGACCATACCCCCTGGGGGGAGACTCGCTTTTTTTCTCTCTGTCTGTCTGGCGAGCGCACGCGCCCTATAGCGAAAACCTCTCCAAAAAAAAAAAAAAGATCGCAAGAGGAGAATGAAGAAGAAGGGATTGTGGTGTGGCAATCCCCCCTGGGGGGTTATTTCTCTCTTTCTGTGTCTCTGTCTCTGTCTTTCTGGCGAGTGGACACGCCCTATAGGAAAAACCTTTCCCCTACCCCCCAAAAAAGAGGATGGGGGGACAGCATGGGGTGTAGTGGCTAAGGTGCTGGACTTGCACGTGATCGACCAGATCGAAAAAAATGAAAGGACCAGGCTGAGGACACTTCCACCCATAAATGCCACCCACCTCTACCACATCCAGTGGGTGCTCCTAACGGGATCTGTCCAGGGAGGAGTTCCTGCAGATAACCTTATTAATAAAATAATAATGCTATGAAGTGCTGTTTACATTGGAGGGGTTTTATGTTTTTATTTAATTTAATCCTCACAAAACAACAATTGTGTGAGCTAAGAAACATACATATTTCTGTCTACTTTGCTTGTCCCCTGGTCTGATGGCTTTACACAGCAGCTTCACAGTGATGAGCTCCACGTGTGTGTCTACAGCTCACGCCTTTCCCTTGACCTACGCACTCAGGCCAGCCTTGCTGTCTAATGGTTAAGAAAGCTGGATGCCACGTGGCTGACTGGAGGGTTCAAATCTCAGTCCCAGTGGCAGGTGTTTGTGTGAGGGGCATGCCTAGAATCCCAACAGGAAGAAAAAATGTAGGAAAAGGGACCACAGCGTGACCATGCGCTATTGGGGGGTCCTGCTCTCTACATCTGTCCCTGGCCAGCACATGTGTCCTCTCACAGCTAAGAAGAGAACAGAACTACACACTATGCATCCAGTGCTGAAGGCCAAGCTGGCCAACATCTGCCTTGGAGTCACCACTGCAGTGGGCTGCCTGACAGGGCAAGTCCTCCAAGTCCTCCTTGCTCAGTGATTGGCAGCCTCTAGCTGGGTGTGAGGCTCGGCCACAGGAGTTACTGGAGGGCCAGCTCTCGCCTACACACAGACCGCAGCTCCTACAGTCACAACGGAGGTGTGAGGTGGGGGAGGGAGGCCTCCTGCTGGACATCTCCCTCTGGGTGCCTACTAAAGTCTCCAACCCAGCTCACCCAGATCTGAACTCTCCAACTTCCTCCCCAAACCTGGGGCTGGCCCGCACTCCCCATCTCAGCTTTCCCATTGTTGCAAGTGAGACAAAACAAACAAGACCCTCTAGTTGCTCTAGAAGTCTCCAAGACCTAGAAGATCTGTCCTCCCACCCCTGATGTCTCTGAGCTCATCTCCACGTCCACACTCCAGCCACACTGGCTTCTCTGCCTAGAGCCACCCTACCGGCAGCTATCCTCTGCATCCTCTGCAGTTTGGTTTGGTTTGGGTTTTGGCATAGGGTGCATGAGCTCGCCAGAAAGAAACAGACACAAAAGAAAAGTGTGAAACCAACCCCCCCACCCCACCTCGGGAGGAATGGCCACACCACAATCTTTTCTCCAATCTCCTCTTGGGATTTTGGGTACTTACACATACGTGCCCTCTGTGATTTTCAAGTCACTGGGTCTGAGGCTCGAACCATGGTTGCCATGTAGGAGTTCAGCCCCTTAACCACCTCGCCACCTGCTGGCCCACAATAGCAATTTTAATTACAACAACTGACTCTCCCCCTTTATTTTTCTCATCAGCACTTTGCCATCACTTCTAATTTTTTTTGAGAGTTTTTTGTTGTTGTTGTTTTGTTTTGTTTTTGTTTGTTTGTTTTTTGCTATAGGGCACGTGCGCTCGCCAGACAGACAGAGAGAGACATAGAGACAGAAAGCGAGAAATCACCCCCCAGGGGGGATGGTCACGCCGCAATCCCTTCTACTCCATTCTCCTCTCGGGATCTTGGGCATGCACGCACAAGCGCCCGGCGTGAGTTTTAAGCCACCGGGTCCGGGACGTGTACCGCGGTCGACTATGTGGGAGTCCAGCGACATAGCCATTATGCTAACTGCTGGTTCCCCACTTCTAATATATTAATATTATATGACCCACGTATTTATTCTGTTTACTTCCTCTTTACTCCCTCTAGAGTATAATCTGCATGAAATCAGGGATTACAGTAATGCCCGTCACTCTGTACTGAATCCCAGCACTTACCACATTCCCTGGGTGCTCAGAAGTGCGGGCTGATGAGTTTATTAAGAGCCCCAAATACTGCAGGTGGCCTGGTGTTAAACCTCTGGACTCTCGCATGGCTGGCAGCAGTTCAAGTCCTAGACCTGGCAGCTTGAAAGCAAGCTTTGTGCTTGAAAATCACGCTGTGTGCATGCGTGCCCCAGATCCTAGGAAAATAGAGGGAAAAGGGTTGCTGTGTGGCAATCCCCCCGGAGGTGTCTTCTCTCTCTGTCTGTCTGTCTGCCTCTGTCTTAGGCAAGCACCTGCACCCTCTAGAAAATGTTGTTTTTTTTTTAAATTAAAAGAGAATAATTTTTGCAACACAGAAGAGGTAGGGAGTGAGGTTATTAGCTGATTAGGAGAAAGGAAACCTGACTGAGGATCCAAGGAAAGCAGAAAATAGCTAGTGGGAGAAGACATTGCCAAGAAAAAGCTTTCCCTCCCAACCCTGCTAATTCCTCTACCACGAGTGTGCTGTGGTAAGAAACATACATGGGTTGGGACCAGCAGTTAGCGTAATGGCTATGTTGCTGGACTCCCACGTAGTCAACCGCGGTTCGAGTCCCGGACCCGGTGGCTTAAACTCACGCCAGGCACGTGTGCATGCGTGCCCAAGATCCTGAGAGGAGAATGGAGCAGAAGGGATTGCGGCGTGGCCATCCCACCTGGGGGGTGATTTCCTGCTTTCTGTCTCTCTGTCTCTCTCTCTCTGTCTGGCGAGTGCACGTGCCCTATAGCAAAAATCTCTCCAAAAAAAAAAAAAATAGAAACATACATGGACTTTGGCCCGTGGCTCCTGGCAGAGAGCTCTGGAAACCCTTGGGGTTCCCTGAGCAGTCAATAGGAGTGTCTTTTGTTATTAGTAACATATCTCTCTCTGTCACACCTGAGTGGGTGAGGTGACTCAGGGTGGGGACTAGTCACTTGCAAGACCAAATGGTTCAAGGTTGGGACTTGCAGCCCCACCCACTGACCCAAAGGGGATCAGGGTCTTGAATAAGATCTGACGAGTTTCCAGCTTCATGCACATCCAGGAGCCAGAGAGGGCGTGGAAACTGCCCACACGCGCTCACACATTTCGGTGGCCGGAAGTGAAGTGCTGAGAGCAGTGAATGGTGTTTTCCTCAGAATGGGCCTCTTACGTTGCCCCTCCTTCATCGTCCCCAACACCCTGACCTCCATCCAGACCTCACCTCCCTCCGTCCTAACGACTTCAATCACTTCTCTGATTCCAACCACTCCACAGTCACTCCCAATGTTTACAAATGTCTTTATTTATTTTGTCATTTCCAATTTTTAAAATCTCGGGACCAGCAGTTGGTGTATTGGCTATGTCGCTGGACTCCCATGTAGTCGACCGTGGCTCAAGTCCCAGACATGGCAGCTTAAACTCACAATGGGAGTATGTGCATGTGTGTGCAAGATCCCGAGAGGAGAATGGAGGAGAAGGGATTGCGGTGTGGCCATCCCCCCCCCTCCCCCGCCCTGGGAGATGATTTCTCACTTTCTGTCTCTCTGTCTCTGTCTTTCTGGCGAGCACATGTGCCCTATGGCAAAAACCTCTCCAAAACAAAACAAAACTCTCTATTTATTCTGTTCATGAGTGAGTGAGACAGAGAGACAGCCAACCCAACAAGGTTCGACTTCAGGATCTCTCCCAGCCTCAGCCAGCTCCAGGTCATGGGCACGAGGTGCCTGGTGCACTCAGGGAGGTCTCCGCAGTGAACCGGGGCCTTCCCAGACCAGGCAGCCTCAGAGTGCCGCTGCTGCTCCACCTCCGTCTGCCCAATTTAATCCTGAGAAGATTAGCCCTGGTAGTGGCATGTCTGCTGTCTGCCAGATTCAATTCAACCCTCATATCAGTCTTCAGCATCTCCTGTGACAACCCTGCGGCCGTTCTCTTACCAGGTATCTGCACTCCAGCCAAACTGGGAATCTCTTGTTGGAAACTTCATCACTGGTCAAATTTACATACATTTGTCTAGAGAGTGTGTGTGTGCTCACCAGGGAGGGAGACAGAGAGACAGAAAGAGAAGGAAAGGAGAAAGCATCCTCCAAGGGGAATGGTCTCACTACAATCTTTTCTCCATCTGTCCCTCCTTTTGGAATCAGGGACATACATGCACATGCACCTGATGTGTTTCTCAGAGTGCTGCGTCTGGGACTCGAATTGAGCAGGTGACCACGTGAGATCTGACTGCCCCAACCAGCAGCCCATGGAGCCAGTTTTGTCAAAATATTTTCTGAAGCCATGTCCTTCCGTGAAACTTTTCCTGGCCTACATCCCACTCCCCACCCCATATTCCTCAAATGTAAATGTCATTCTCTTATTTGAACTCACTAATATAGTAACTTTCTCAGAGCAAAATATAAGATTTTCTTTTATAGTATAATTATTTTTGCATGTCTCAACCCTACTTTAGATCATAAACTCTTTAAGGGTTGAGGCCAGCAGGTGGCGTAGTGGTTAAGGCATTGGACTCCCACATGGCCTACCACAGTACAAGTCTTAGACCTGGGCAGCTTGAATGTCACATAGAGTGATTGGGTATATGTGCTCAAAATGCTGAAAGGAGAATAGGAGATAAGGGATTGCAGCATTTC